AAAAACAACAATTAATCTGGTACTGCTAGAGGCTTGATAACCCATAAAATTGGCGCCGTTTATGGTGAAAGGCATTTAGTATCACACTTTTAATCTAAAGCTTTCTTAACCCTTTCAGTATAAAATTTCAACCACTGATTCTAAAAATTTTAAAATATGTATACCGGCTAATTTTGTATCGTTCATTTCAAAAATCACATCAACAAATATGTAGAGCTTTGGGCTTTGCCGTCACTCAGTGTCCTTTATAATGGTCAGTAATACCTAGGTGTTTAAAACGAAAGTGATGTCAACTATTTTTATTTTTTGCTTTCATGAAATATATTTGAAAACTGTGAATAACACTTTGCCACAAAAGAAAACTCTCAGAACACACGAAAGAATCGATATACTCACTAAACTATGGGCCAAATATAGTAAAGCTGCGTTTTTAGTTTTTCACTCTGACGTCAGTATTTTTTTCAAAAGACTTTGAAATTTTAAAGATATGATTAATTAAAAAAATTAGTGCAATGTAGAATAACCATATGGGTACCAAATGAAAGAGAAAATTCTGCTGAATTTCAAAACAATAAAGTTGTTTGGTTTACAAGGATAAATAGGTATTGAAAATGCGCTTTTAATAAATTTTATCTTTTCAAGTTAATAAAGTTTGCAGGACGAAATTGGATGATGTGGTCGTATGTACATATATTAGTCCTCAAACAATAACTTTTTCAAAAATAAATATTGCAAATTTTCAAGGATTTTAAGGAAACATTTTTTAAAGGACATTTTCTGTACCCTTATGCATCAAAAAATTTATTCTCTTATAATTCTACAGAATTTTTTCTTATATTTGATACCCTTATCTTTATACTTCATTGCCCTGAATTTTTTAAAAAAAATTTTGAAATAATCATATTTTTTTAATTCCAAAGTCCTTTAAAAAAAAGTCCTGACGACAGAGAGAAACTAAGTACGTGACTCAAACAAGTGACCAAGTGTTGACTTAAATATTCGTAATGTTTTTAGAGCTAATTTTTTTGTTTTTCTATAAAAAAAATACTACATAATAAATATAAAATTTATACAAAATTTAGGAAAATTCCACAAATTTTCATAAAAATTTCAACTTTTTAATCTGATTATGTAGAAAACTTTTGGGTATGCAATTTTAGTCTAACGATCCCGCTAAAAAATCCCATTGATTTCCGAGAATTTTTTTTTTGTGACGGATTTTTGAACTTTTTCCATATAAGCATGAGTTTTTTATGAAACAAAACTTAAAAAAATCAACGCCATTTTTTGTAGATTACACTTGTTATATAAAAAAAAAACGCAAAAGTAGTCTTCAAAAAACAATTATCAAAAATCAGCGCGATTTTTTAGCTGGTTGCAACTTGCACTTCATTAGACTAAGATTGTATGGGCTAGTAAATTGCATACCCAAAAATGTTGTAAAGATTCAGATCAAAAAGTTGAAATTTTGTTGAATTTTTCTAAATTTTGTATAAACTTTGAAACTGTGATTTATATAGTTTTTACTACCGGGTAAATAATAACAGGTGGTCGAACCTCAAAAATCAAAGTAAATCTACATATATCATATCCAAGAACCTACATTGCACAAGAAGCACAAAAGCAGCAGTAGTCGACTTCAGTTTGAAATACTAAGTCTATTCCAGGGGCTGCACGATTTGCAGGATTTTACAAGACGTCGTTCTCGGTCGCCACCTTTCATAAAGTTTATTAATGGCGAAAACAGATTTTCTTGTAAATCCTGCAAATCGTGAAATACCTGGAACAGGGCTATTATGTTGGGTTGAATTCAAGCAGTTGTCATTTAGCGAAATGCTAGGAAACGAAACACATGCAAAGTGACACCTTTTAAATAATGGTTTAAATTTACTTAATACTTACCATAATTATACCAATTTACAAAAATATTTATTAAATGTATAAAACAGTAAAACAGTAAACAGAAATCGGTATAAACTGAAAAAATCAGTAGATTTTGTGTACTGATTTCGGGTTCTCTTTACAGAAATATATCGTTATTAGTAATCTTGGTATTATTACTTCCACAGCAGCCGTTCAAAGTTAAAAAAAGGTTATTTTTGAGCTTTTTTGGAAACTATTGAAATTTATCGACGTTTTACTATTGAATAAATAATTTTTTGTCCGATACATGAAATTTTAGTTCACAATAATGTTATAACAAACAAGTCAAGCTAAAGATTGTCTAAATCGAACGAAAAATGTTGAAGTTATAACGTATTTTGTAAAATGATGCATATTCAGCTTCTGACATTCAAATTTTCCTTTTATACACCTACACAGAAATAAATTATGAAGCACGGCTGGGGTTGAATCCATATCCACGGAATGTTACCAAAATGTTAAAAAACACAAAAAAAGTCTATTTTGTGTAAACTTACATGCTGAATCAAAGTAAACGTTGTACGGGGGAACAGAAATATCTCCAGTCGGTAAAATGCGTTACTGCTTGAGCGACATTGAACTTCCGCTATATTTTCCTGCCCCGTTAGGTAGTTGACAAACGTTATCGGATTTCGTTTCGTACTTTTGTTGGACAGTTGTTCCTTTTGTGTTCTCTCGTATTTTAGAATGACGTTTTTGCTCTAAGGAAAAAGCAAAAAATGTGCCATCACTCACCGGGTAAGTTTTGCTTTATTTGTGGATTGTGCATATTCAAACAAAGTGCTCGGAAAAAAATAACCACAAACATTTTAACTGCTTATGAACAATATTTTGGAATTCAAGCCATGAAACCGGGTAAACATTGGACTCCAAACTCTTTATGTGCCACATGTTTTGTACGATTGAATGCGCTTAGCAAAGGCAAAAAGAAGTATTTATCTTTCGGAAAGCCGTGCGAATGGAGAAACCCGATTGATCATGTGACGGATTGCTACTTCTGCCTAACCAAAATCCAAGGAGGAAAGAATTCAAAGCTGTTTCTCCCAATGTATCATCAGTGACAGCAACTGCACCACATTCTTCTGTGTACCCAAAACGCGAACCACCAGCACTGAAAGAACAAGAAATTAGTTCGCAAGGGACTGTATTTTCGGATTCAAATCCCAGCGTTTATTCAGGATCAGCGAGTCAAAAATCGAACCTGATGAATCAATTGGCCCTTAATGATCTGTGTCGTGATTTGAACTTATGAAAAGAAAAATTTGAATTACTCGCATCACGCTTACAAGAACGTGGGTATTTGGAATCAGAGACAAAAGTAACTTACTTCAGAAATCGGAGCAAACAATTCGAACAATATTTCTCAAAACCAGTTAACAATGTTAACGCGTTGTTTGCCGCATTTTGAGAAAATCATAACTCGGACCAATGGCGTCTATTTATTGATGGTAGGAAATATAGTGTGAAAGCTGTTTTACTTCATAAAAGTAATAGGAAACCTTCCATTCCCATTGGCCACTCCACAAACGTGAAAGAAACATACGAGACAATGAAAGAGTTACTCAAACTGATTCACTACAGTTCTTAATACTGGAAGATATGTTGTGACTTGAAGGTCGTCGCTATACTCACTGGTCTACAGGGTGGCTATACGAAATACAGCTGTTTCTTGTGTCTCTGGGATAGCAGATCAGATGAAAAGCATTTTACTCAACGCGAGTGGTAAAAGCGTAATGATCAGGGAACGGATTTTTAGGACCTAAAAACCTATAAAAAAGGCAAAATAAAATAACGAAATAGGCTGGAAAAGGCAAAATAAAATAGCGAAAAGGGCAGGAAAAGGCACTAGGTGTTGCTAAAAAGGCAAAACAAAATAGCGGAAAAGGCAGGAAAAGGCACTAGGTATTGCAAAAAAAAGCTAAATAAGGCACTAAAAAGACAGAAAATACGAAGAACAATCAAAAAACACATTTATTTTAGAAATGTTTATATTACAAGTGAAAAGAGAAAAACTATGAACCAGTTTCATTATATGAAAATTTTGTACTTTGAATCTTTGACTATTTTATCCTTTCGGGTTTCTAACTCATAAAACTTTAATCTGTATAGTTGTAGTAACATTGAACCACAAGATGCATTTTGAAGTTTTCTGGCATTGTCATTCGATTTTCGCGAAGAAAAGCCTTGAATATATTAAATGTGTGCTCGACGTAAGTTGATACAAGCGGCGCCCAATTTAAATATGGAACGTTTGAAACGTTCATATTATCAGGAATAAGGGCGTTTTCCTCGCCCTTTATAATTTTATCCACATCCCTTATTGTCTCCAAGCCTTCGTTAGCTGAGAAAACGGCTTTGAATTTTTCCAACACCAATTTGGCAGAGGTCCCTGCGCTTCTATAAGCCGCATGGGCAATGTGTATATTTTTTAATCTAAAAAAAAATTTNGAAACCTTCCATTCCCATTGGCCACTCCACAAACGTGAAAGAAACATACGAGACAATGAAAGAGTTACTCAAACTGATTCACTACAGTTCTTAATACTGGAAGATATGTTGTGACTTGAAGGTCGTCGCTATACTCACTGGTCTACAGGGTGGCTATACGAAATACAGCTGTTTCTTGTGTCTCTGGGATAGCAGATCAGATGAAAAGCATTTTACTCAACGCGAGTGGTAAAAGCGTAATGATCAGGGAACGGATTTTTAGGACCTAAAAACCTATAAAAAAGGCAAAATAAAATAACGAAATAGGCTGGAAAAGGCAAAATAAAATAGCGAAAAGGGCAGGAAAAGGCACTAGGTGTTGCTAAAAAGGCAAAACAAAATAGCGGAAAAGGCAGGAAAAGGCACTAGGTATTGCAAAAAAAAGCTAAATAAGGCACTAAAAAGACAGAAAATACGAAGAACAATCAAAAAACACATTTATTTTAGAAATGTTTATATTACAAGTGAAAAGAGAAAAACTATGAACCAGTTTCATTATATGAAAATTTTGTACTTTGAATCTTTGACTATTTTATCCTTTCGGGTTTCTAACTCATAAAACTTTAATCTGTATAGTTGTAGTAACATTGAACCACAAGATGCATTTTGAAGTTTTCTGGCATTGTCATTCGATTTTCGCGAAGAAAAGCCTTGAATATATTAAATGTGTGCTCGACGTAAGTTGATACAAGCGGCGCCCAATTTAAATATGGAACGTTTGAAACGTTCATATTATCAGGAATAAGGGCGTTTTCCTCGCCCTTTATAATTTTATCCACATCCCTTATTGTCTCCAAGCCTTCGTTAGCTGAGAAAACGGCTTTGAATTTTTCCAACACCAATTTGGCAGAGGTCCCTGCGCTTCTATAAGCCGCATGGGCAATGTGTATATTTTTTAATCTAAAAAAAAATTTTAAATGCTGTAATCACTTTTTAAAGGTAGAAAAGGCAAAAAAAGGCAAATATCTTAAAAAAGGCAAAAAAAGGCAAATATGTTAAAAAAGGCAACATCAAATGTGTATATATGGAATCAGGGAAAGCTAAATCGTGGACATTCTTAATCGAATATACTCTATCTCTTTAGCAGAAAAAAAGGCTATTTCCATAAAATCCGTTCCTTGGTAATGATCATGTCGTAGGAAAGAGCAACGTTCTTAAAACAGCACTAGTTGAAAAAAACAGCGTTATTTTTCCACCATTGCGCCCGAGTTTTAGGCTAATGAAAAACTTTTTCAAAGCTTTAGCAAAAAATCCGGAAAATAAAGCCTTGAAATATTTGAGGACGGTGTTTCCTAAACTGTCGACAGAAAAAATCAAAGCAGGTATNGAACGGATTTTTAGGACCTAAAAACCTATAAAAAAGGCAAAATAAAATAACGAAATAGGCTGGAAAAGGCAAAATAAAATAGCGAAAAGGGCAGGAAAAGGCACTAGGTGTTGCTAAAAAGGCAAAACAAAATAGCGGAAAAGGCAGGAAAAGGCACTAGGTATTGCAAAAAAAAGCTAAATAAGGCACTAAAAAGACAGAAAATACGAAGAACAATCAAAAAACACATTTATTTTAGAAATGTTTATATTACAAGTGAAAAGAGAAAAACTATGAACCAGTTTCATTATATGAAAATTTTGTACTTTGAATCTTTGACTATTTTATCCTTTCGGGTTTCTAACTCATAAAACTTTAATCTGTATAGTTGTAGTAACATTGAACCACAAGATGCATTTTGAAGTTTTCTGGCATTGTCATTCGATTTTCGCGAAGAAAAGCCTTGAATATATTAAATGTGTGCTCGACGTAAGTTGATACAAGCGGCGCCCAATTTAAATATGGAACGTTTGAAACGTTCATATTATCAGGAATAAGGGCGTTTTCCTCGCCCTTTATAATTTTATCCACATCCCTTATTGTCTCCAAGCCTTCGTTAGCTGAGAAAACGGCTTTGAATTTTTCCAACACCAATTTGGCAGAGGTCCCTGCGCTTCTATAAGCCGCATGGGCAATGTGTATATTTTTTAATCTAAAAAAAAATTTTAAATGCTGTAATCACTTTTTAAAGGTAGAAAAGGCAAAAAAAGGCAAATATCTTAAAAAAGGCAAAAAAAGGCAAATATGTTAAAAAAGGCAACATCAAATGTGTATATATGGAATCAGGGAAAGCTAAATCGTGGACATTCTTAATCGAATATACTCTATCTCTTTAGCAGAAAAAAAGGCTATTTCCATAAAATCCGTTCCTTGGTAATGATCATGTCGTAGGAAAGAGCAACGTTCTTAAAACAGCACTAGTTGAAAAAAACAGCGTTATTTTTCCACCATTGCGCCCGAGTTTTAGGCTAATGAAAAACTTTTTCAAAGCTTTAGCAAAAAATCCGGAAAATAAAGCCTTGAAATATTTGAGGACGGTGTTTCCTAAACTGTCGACAGAAAAAATCAAAGCAGGTATATTTGTCGGGCCACAAATCAGAAAATTGTTTGATGATGCAAAATTTGAACGACGCTTGAACAAATCTGAAGTAAAAGCTTGGACTGCCTTTGAACAAGTTGTTCACGGTTTTTTGGGGAACCACAGAAGCAAAAACAACCGTAAATTGATTGACAATTTGATGAAAAACTTCAATGCCATTGGTGAGTGTGAAATATTTTTAGATTAAATGTAAGTTTGTGAAAATCCATGCAATTTTCTTTTTGTGACTTATAAGCCTAAATATCTTCAACGGTTATACCTTGCATGGATTAAAATAATTATTTTAAGAAAAAATTTTTAGTAATTTACAAAATATTTTATTTATTACAGGTGCTCGAATTTCTCTGAAAATGCACCTGCTCAATAGTCATTTGGACTTTTTTCCACCGAATTTGGGAGCTGAGAGCGACGAACAAGGCGAAAGATTTCACCAGGGCATTGCAACAATCGAAAAGCGGTATGAAGGTTTCTGGGATCAGGCCATGATGGGCGACTATTGTTGGATGCAACTTCGAGAAGACAGAATGGAACACGACGAAACGAAGAAGTTTGAGAGAAAAATCATATTTTCGACCTGAACTAACTTCTACATTTCTTCTTCGATCGCAGCAATATTTAGCTTAAATTGTATGTGACAGAATTGTCTTCAAATTGTTATCATATATATCTGCATTAAAAATTTTTATCTTATGAAAAAAAACAATAAACCTCATTCATTTCCAAAAAGGCTCAAAAAATGACAATTTTTTATATTTGAACAGCTGCTGTGGAAGTAATAACCACTAGATTACCAATAATGACATATTGCTGTAAAGAAGAGGTCTGTACCTTTCTAAAAATGTATATCATTGCTCCATAACATTAACTTCCTCGGAGATTTCGGTGAAAAACTGGAATGAGACCCGAAAAACAGGTTTTTTGCAAAAATCGCAAAAACGCTTCTTGAGAAAAATAAATGAGTGTCATTTTCGTTTTCAGCGACCCCAAATTAAGCTAGAAAGCACTTTTTTATCGAGGTACTTTTTTCGTGTAAACTAGTGTTATGAATCACACAGTTCGGGTTGGGTTAAAAATGTTAGTACTTCACTATATGAGATATCTTGGAATGGGTTGAAAATACAGTACATTTCAAGATTGAAATTTATTCATGGCTTAAAAGAGGGAAATTCGCCTTTTTCAGGATTGACACCCTTGACCTAACCACCCTGTGTTTGACTTTCTTGAAATAGTATATGTAATTCTTGTGTTTCAAAATTTTTCTAGACAATTGTAAAAGTTTCAGCAATCAAAACAAATACGATGCTTTTAATATAGTTTTCGTGTTTTGTAAATTTTTTGCTTCAAAGGGATACTTTTAAGGCGCGTTTTCACTATGTCATATTTTGACGCCAAAAATTTATGGACATATTTTGACACAACTTAATCTCCTTTATCCATGTCCATTCCGAGGATACTATGAGCTAAAACCAGACATATAGCCGATTTAGCAACGCATGAGCAGAACTAAAGACCTATACTGATTTAAATCAATCGATATACCGCTTTTTAGTCCCATTTTACACACACATACACACCGTCACCTCTTCCCCATCCCCCATTCGATCTCTCACTAAACGGAACGTGTCCGGCTTTATTGAGCCTCTGACCTGGCAACCCTGTCTCTAACAGGCACGGGCAGAAAGTAGGCAGTCATTCACATGCATAACAATTATGTGTATTGGATGCACTGTTGTCGCTGTCATTCCAATTGTAGTTTTTCTCTCTGACTGACGGCTCTATTTTGTGTCAGTGACAAATTCTTGTCACAGTGTTTTTTGCGGAAAAATATGTGAAAAAGTTTAAATTTGTCAGTAAAAAATTTTTGTCAACGATACAGAATTGGGCTTACTACGGAGGGGGCTTTCAATAAATTACTTCACATTTCTTGTAAAAATAAAAAATTAAGCTATGAATTTATCTCTGCATATAGATAGTAGGAGATCAGACAAGGGCACGACCTTCACCCATTTCTTTAATGGATGAAATCTACTTTGGATGAAATTTAACGTGTTAATCAACGTCGGAAATATTTCGCGACTAGGCTGGCTGAAAAAATCTTGGCCAGGATATTTTTAATTGATTATTAAAAAATATTATTATTGTTTTAATTTTGCGCTCATTTATTTAATAAAGTTACATATATACCAATAGAAAGCATAAAGCCTATATAATGTGTTAAACAGATGACTGACTAGTATTACCTACCTCAGGGGCGGCGAACCTTTATACATAAACGTGCCATTATTTCCAAAGAATTATTCAATGTAACCATGACGTGCCATCAGTCATGACTTATCACCATTCTTAGGGACATTGGTTGACAAATAAATCGTGAAAAAATTTAAAAAAAAAAACGAATTAAGCGTCTCTTAAATGTCTCTGTGTACCTTGTGTGCAAACGCCAGCTTCTGCAGACACTAGGGATGTTAATTTTTTCGCTTTTTACGATCCCGGGATTTTCGGGATGTAGTTATCACAATCCTACTTTTTACTATTTAAAGAGGCGTTTTTGTTTTTTTTCTCTGACGTCAGGATTTATTTTAAAGGACGTTGTAATTACAAAGATATGATTAATTCTAAAAAATTATTTAAAAAATTCAGTGCAATGTAGAATAAAAATCTGGGTACCAAATTAAAAACGAAATTTCTTCAGAAATTAAAATAATTAAAATTTTTTGGATTCACAAGGACGAATACGTAATTTTTTAAGTCGATAAAGTTAGAAGGATGAAATTCCAGGATGTTGTAGAGTTTATACCAGTCCTTAACATAAAATTTTTTCAAAAACAAATATTGCGAAATTTCTAGATTAAATTTTAAAAGGACATTTCCAATACTTACCAGTCCTTATGCACCGAAAAATTTAGTCTCTCTTTAATGTGATACCCATACTTTTTCTCTAAGCACATTTCACTGAATTTTTTAAATAATTTTTGAATTACTGACGTCAGAGTGAAAAACTAAAAACGCGATTTTACTTAATTTGGCCCATGGTTTCCCGAATATATTGATTTTTGTGTGTAATAATTTACACACGGTGTTATAGTATGTATAATGAGCTAGACATTTATAAAAAATATTATTTATTAAAGAAATATATCCAATACTGGTCAAGAAAAGGAGTTTCTATTACTGCCATCAGTGCAAAACCGCAAAAAGGCCGGGATCCCGGGATTCTAGAATAACAGATTCCCGGGATAACAGAAATCCCACACTGTATGTATCTATTATACATAAAATCTTTTCGTATGAAAAACACATCAATGTACATAGATATGCAACATACATAGGATTTATATATATTAGGGCTGGTCAGTTTTACTATGCGCGTTTAGCATAAGAGGATTCTAATTGTAATTCTAAGCAACTTTGCGAAGAAACCATGGTTCTAAAATCAATTAGGAGTTTGTCATATTGCGAAAATAGGTTTAGAAGAAAGTGTGGACATTTTTACTGTTGTGCCCTCAGGTGGAAGTTTTCAGAAAAAGAGAAGTGCACAAATTGATTCCTCATACCAGAAAACCCCTACAGCATGTTTTTGTACAAAATTCAAGCAATTCTTTACGACACTACAGCAAAGTGCTAAGAAACCTATTTTCGCAATTTGGCAAAGTTCAAATTGATTTTAGAGCCATGGTTTCTTCGGCAAAGTTGCTTAGAATTACACGTACATACAAATTAACCCTCCTTAATACACCTACATATTTTATTTATTTTTGAATTTCTAAAGAAAAAAATAATTTACACAAACAGCCTTTTCATTCGCTTTCGCGTTTAAATTGATCAATTGGCTGACATTTCATTGGCTAATCTTAGTTTTAATCAGCCTGCTCGTGCGTTTAAACCATGTCTAACCACATCTGTGCACTGAAAAACTGGCCCTAAGTCGCACAATTAGGTTGTTTGCTAAGTAAATTAGATTTGACTACACATATTTAATGCCTTTTTAACCGACTTCCAAAAAAGGAGGAGGTTATCAGTTCGTCGGAATATTTTTTTTTTTTTTTTTTTATGTGTGTTACCGCATAACTTTGGACCACGTCAACCGATTTCGATAATCATCGGAAAGGTAGTGTCTCAGAGGTGGTCCCATACTAATCTGGTTGAGATCCGATCAGTGGATCATGAGATATATATATATATTTTTTTTATGTGGGAGTTGAAGTCTGTTTTTTTTTGCTAAAAATTACATTATCAAAGAATACAACCACTCAAAATACTTTTCAGAATCTAGAAACTCAAAACATTTGAAAAAAGAATTAATGGTTGGAAAGCTTTCTAATGTTTTCAAAATACACAACTTCTCGAGTTCCCCACACGTTTTTCTTACTTCTATCATTTTATTTTTCCTAAATTACTTCTGTATAACTCAAAAGCGTTCACGGTCGTGAAAAGGGGGAAATCACGTACGCCGTCCCCATAAATATTATAGTAATACTATTAGGCTAAAATAGTGTGCGAAACATTCATGGGAAAGATGTATGGAATTTAAAGTTTAGTTACGCGAAGAATCTCGTCCGTCAGCATCCATCTCCAATCAAACTCGAGCATATTGCACAATATGAGCAATAAGACTTCTTCCTAAGAAATCTTAAGGGCTGACTATAATGTGAATAAGCTGCCGTAACTGACTGTCAGAAAATGAACGAAAAGTCTGTCAAATGCATAAGCATCGTAGTGTACTTTTAAGCGCTCGTTATACTTGCAATGTGCTGCAGCGCATAACATGAGTACTGCCACATATCGAATCTGTTTAATGAGCTTTGCATACAAACGATTATCCTACGCAGCGCATGACAGGGCATGGCAGCTAAGTCTGGGGAATTTTGATTTTTCGCTATGTGACATTTTCAAAAAGAGATGCCACTCTCATTGCTCTCACTAGTCTCTTCCAATACCCATCAGATTTACAGGAATTACTGAGAAGTCGTTCTTGTACATACATTGGGGCGTATTTATATTCGAAACAAAGTCAATTATAAAGTTAGTTGCCGCCATTTCATTGAAAATTATGACAAAAATCAGCATCTAACTTTAGTGTCGACTTCATTTAAGCTATGAATAAGCATTCTTCAGTTATGTTTTCCTAACTAAATTGATAACACTGAACAGCTGATTCTGGGATATTATACGCTCTATGCCGAGTATAATTACACCACTGCTTAACATGCGCTGCTTCTCTATGCCCTGCACTTGCAATGTAACCAGCGCTTTAGGTGGCTATATTTTACTTATATGTGTTCAAAGTTGCCAAATTTTTTTATTTCTTACCCAAAATCACCAGAAAAAGTTATCAAATTCAAAAAAAAATTACCAAAATTATTTTAAACTAAACTAAAATTTCGAAGCACTTTAAAATCTACATTGTCCAGTTATGATCAAAGAACGTAGATAACCAGAAGGGACAACGCGAAAGTGAGTAACAGGGGCGTGCCTTCTCTTTTCATCCAATTAAAAAACGCACTAGAGCAAAAGAGAAAGCACGCCACTGTTAATCACTTTCGTTACAATTATAACGAGTTGTTTTGTTATCTACTTTCTTTGTTATGACCAATATACACACATACATACAACAATATACACACATAGATATAACAATAGCCACTATGAATCAGTTTGTTGTAGATCACACAATTATAGTAACCTAGGAACGCCGAAAAACTGTTATCCTTGCGAAACTTTCAGGATTACCTGGTATTTCTGTAAAAGCAAACGCTTACGGCCCACTTTCTAATGTGGAATCAGAACTTGTTTTTACCTATGTTGCATGTAGGACTAAAGTGACCAACCGTACTTCTGTTTTCTGTTCTGATATTTTGTACTTCACAATTCCGACAATTGTCGGATCGCTATCGCACTTTTTGACGCATGATATAAATACTTTTGCGTCAAAAAGTACGACAGCGATTCGAAAATTGTCGCTAACTGGTTACAGAATCTCCAACGTGACTGTCTTTCAAGAGCTCAATATGCTTATTGCAAGAAAAGGTCGGTGAATACCTCACTGCACACATTGGTAAAGTGGTCAGTGGAAGCCTTCACGCATGAAGATTATGCAGTAGGGGCCTTCTTCGATATCGATGGGGCTTTCAACAATGTCACTCCAGAGGCAATAGTCAAGTTTATTCATAATCTGGGGGTTGAAACCAACCTAATACGCTTACTTCGTGACAGAACTGTCGCGGCGGAGTGGGGGAGCGTCTGCACTCAGTGCATGCACTCAGTGCAGAGTCAATGGGAGCAATCCACAAGGTGATGTTCTCTCTCCCCTGCTCTGGATTGCGGTTGTAAACGACCTTCTAGAGGAACTGGAAAAAGTGGGCTGTCAGGTGATCACCTATGTAGATGATGCGGAACTTTTGGTTAAGGGACGATTTCTATACACCCGTTTTGATCTGGCTTAAGGTTACCTGAACCAGGTATCTAGGTGGGCGATCAACGGTGGCTGTCGTTGAAGCCTAGCATTGAGGATAGGGCAGCAAAGGTGCCGATTGCCTTGTACTGCTGTAGGGGAGCTATCGGTAAGAGGTGGGGTCTCTCGCCCAAACTAATTAATTAGCTCTAGGAAACCAGATTTAAGCCTATATTGTTTAAAGGGGCCCTTATTTGATGGAACTCACTAGAGAAGGCTACACTTGTAAAACAGGAATTAGCGGATATTGCAGACAGAATTGTCGCAGCACGCACTGCTATTAGGCTAAGGGAAACCGGGTCCTTTTGTGACATAAAAAAGAAAATAAGACGTTTTTTTGCTGCAGCAAGTGTTTTTATTGGGCACTTTAAAACACGTTACCTCTCAAGGGCTAGTGATGGTGGTTCTGACAGGCCATTGTGCGATTGGTATTCATGCGGTGAGACTAGGAATTTCGAACGGTCCTTTTGTATCAGCTGTTAAGAGGAAGATGAAGTGGAATCATCTCCCCATTTTCTTTTAGACTGTCCAACCTTCGCGAGGCTAAGATGGAAGCAGTGTTGCCAGAACTTTTTGGACGAACCGTCTAAATTGGCAAATAAAACCGGCTAAAATGTTTCAACTAAATTTCACATGTTTTATTTACATAAATCACGAGTAAAAAGACTATTTCTTGGAGAGAAGTTACAAATTCGAGCCGGAAAAAATTTTTCCAGCAAGAATTTGCAATTAGGAAAAACATATGATTGTGGCACATGGTTGGATTTTTTGTCGACGATAATTTGAATAAACAAGTTCGTTAAATTTAAAAATTTACAAACTGGAGCGATTTTAAAATGAAAAATGTAAGTTAATACTTGTTTACTTAATTAATTTAGTTAATTCCAATGATTTGAAAGGTATTCGGCAAAAAAAACTGTATTCTTAATCGAAGTGCAATCTCAACCAGAGTCGATATAGTAAACCCGACAAAGAAATTGAAACGTATGTTGAAGAAAGTCGGACTGACAATATATATACACGTAGATCCTGTTTTTTGCCCCTCTAAAAGAATTTTAAAAATTCTATACAAATTTCTTTTGTTTGAAATGCAACCGTGGACACTAGCTGGCAAAAAACTTTCAAATTTGCGTTCGTACAGAAAATTGCATTGAGAGAGAATTTGGGAGCATTTTTTCTTACTATCTGATATTTTGAGTGATAATTCTCGCTGGATTTTCGACGAACAAACCTATTGTCTTCCCTACAA